ATAGAGCTATTATGAACAAAATTTGGATTACTATCAGTAAAATTTCGTTTGCGAATCAGCATCCCGAAGAGATTGGCCAATACAATGGATACAACGGATATATATTTCCTTGTAAGGCACCCTAACTATATTATATAATTACAAGTCATTCTCGATATAGTAAAGTTAGGCTTAAAGCCAATTTATATAAATTCTCTCAATATAGTAAATTTAACTCATAGTCTTTCTATATACGTAGTAAATTTTTTTTTTTTAAAAAAAAAATTTTTAACGGATCACTTTACTATAATGATTTTGACTTATCTGTTATATTGATTATAGCTATAATTGATGGCTTGTTTCTAGACACCAATCGGCTCTCAATGAAGCAGATGTATCTGAATATGCGCGTCATAAATGAGTGTAGGCAAGGGAAAACCTCGAACTGGCATATTACTCATAATATGCCGGTTCCTTTGGGACGTATAATTCGTAGGTTACTTGATTTAGTTTTAAATGATGCACACAATAGTATAGTTGTATACTATGCTAACCAATGAATTGAATAGAGTAATTGGATACTTTCGAGTAAAAGGTACGCTCTTTTTAGAGCAGGCTTTGGATTCATTGTTTATATGTCTTCTATGAGATTCTATTTTTTATTTTTGTAATATATTTGACTTTAAAAATCTTTTTCTTTTAGAAATTTTTCTTTGAGAATTTCTTTTCTATTTAATAGATAACTTTAAAAGAAATTGATAAATTAATTTTTAAAAGATTAGTTAAAAAAACAATATAAATTTGAAGATAATTTAGTTAGAATTCTTTTAACCATTTTAACGGATTCAATTTTTAAATTTAAATTAGATATTTTTTAAAGTTACTTTATGTATTAAATTTTTTATAAAACTTTTGAAATAAATTAATTATTTTACAAAAATTCATTATAAATTGTTTTCAAATAAGAGAACATTTTTTATTAATCATAATATATTCTCAAAATATTGTTGTGTTCTCTGAGAACAGTAAAAACATCGAATTTTACACACTGTTACATGGTCGCACCACTAGTAATATAGAAGATTTAAAAAAGATTTTTAAACGAAACATACGATTAAGATTTAATCCTTCTTTACAAATAAATAAATATATGCGAATGTAGCAGATAATTAATATCTTTTAGGTTAATTTTAGATTAATTAGAATTCGCTAATTAAATAACGTGTTACTAACATTATGTATATATTTGGCGTGCTTTTAGCGACGGTTTCTTTATTGCCAAGGAATATAAATAAAAAATATAAAATATATAAAATAAATAAAATATATATGTGTGAGGTAAATGATTATATATTACAAGATTTATATTAAATTAATAATATGAATTATAGCTTGTGTAAAATGATAGTTTATAGCAAATTGTGAAAATGTGTAATTATAAAAATCTATGAATTTTGCCTAAGTAAATTTGTTTTCTTAGGGCTCAATGTAGCACGCTGATAGTTCATAGAGGGACTATATTGTTGTTTAGTAACAATCAAGTTTTCGATTTCCTTCCATGCACGTTCTTTACGCTCTGTAGGTGATTCTGCATCCTGATCTTCCATACGATATGATTGCATTTTTTCAACTTTTTTGAATATACTATTCATGAACATCTCTCTTTCTTGAGAAGGTGAAAGGTTATATCTTTGAGAGGCATAAATAGTGTTTGTTTCTGTTAATTCATTTGTAAGTCTTGTTAAATCCTGGATAAGAAGCTGTTCTGGTGAATGCCAATCCTTTATTTAAAAAATAAATATATAACATTTTTAGATAATTAAAATAAATGAAGTGTAACAGCTATATGCGTATATATACCTGATTGGTCATTCTATTTTTTTCAAGGCGTTCAAGAATACCGTTCAATTTTGCAACTTCATGTTGCCGCATTTGACGAGGACTAAGTTCGACACGTTGATCTACAAAACTTCTTTCTGCTGCTTTATTTATTTGGTCAATAAGCCGATTTAAGGTTTGGTATTTTACAACTGATGACGAATCGGTTTGCTGTCCATCAAAACGTCCACGAGATAATCTTCGAATGACACCTGATAAAGTTACAGCTGTTAATCGTTTCTTTTGACGTGTGCTAAGCTCTACACGTTGATTATTAAGTTGGGGAGCCACAGAATAAACACGATCTATTGCAGCGATAACATTATCCAAATCCAATTTTGTTTTTTCATTGTCTATTTTTATACTTAAGTTTTTTTCACTAATCAATGGATATTTGGGCGGATCGATGACAGCTTCATCAACTCCTCCAGTAATATTATAAGAATATTTAGGAGGTGGATCGCTATGTGATCGTTCACGACATAAACCTGCGACAATTTCCATTAGTCTATCAATTTCATTCCAAGTTGCAAGACGTTCATCAGTAACATTGTTATATAAATTTAAACTTGCACGTCGACATTGTAATGTTGTAACTTCTTTATGTAATGTATTGTAAATATCTTCATTTGAAACAGGTTGTAAAATTTCTTCTGAAGTTTGGACAGTAGTATTTGGTAATTCACTAGATTTTGATGGCAAATTTAGATCAGGATTTTTTTTAGAATCACATAATTCTAAAATTCTATACAAGCATCCAAGTAAGGCGGCCAAAGTACATGCTAGGCTGTAATCATCACTTAGAATAACAGAATTACTAGAATCCAACTGATGGCGAATTATGTCAAGTGTAGCAATATCAGGAGAATACTGCAGTCTTGAATCTGTTTGCAGCATTTCATTGCTAGTGCTCAGCTTTGTTGCATTATGTGCGATATCAGCCAATAGTTGAGATCTTACCCAGGAATTTCTCTCCTCTTTGGGTATATTTTCTAATTCGAGATTGGCATTTTGTGATGGTGAATGACTAAAAGAGGAAGAACGCTTTCTAGATGACCTTATTTCTGAAGCCATAATATTCGAATTGTGATCCGCAACAATTTGACGTAGAAGACTGTCAAGTGCTATGAGTGCAACGTGCTTCACACTAGTTAGAGATTCAATAACATCCTGTAGATTAGTTTTAAATAAAGATAACTCAATAATTTATTATTAATAACAAAAAAAAACATATATATATATATATCCAAAATGTTAAAGGGTAAATTATCTACCTGTGATATCAATACATTGTTTATTTCCTCTTTTTCAGGACTTGACATTAACGATTTCTCTAGATCTTGTAAATCATTGATTACCTCTCTTGATTGATTATTAGTTTCGATATCATAATTACTACTTAAATTTTTCCCTTCGGGGATATATGTAGTTGGTGTCAAAGGTTGATCTAAGCCCAATTCAGCCTCGTTGAAGCTTTCGCTTAACAATAAATCAAGAATGTGATGATCACTTTCTTCGATAGTCGATGTTTGAATAGAAGTACTAGAATCAGCTTGTTCTTCCTCATTTATAAGACTTGTACGATGACCTAAATTTGCGGGCATAGATCTCTATCAAGAAAAAATAAAAAATAAAATCATAAATAAATAAACAAAAAAAAAAAAAATAATATATTTTAATAATTCGTCAATTAATTTGAATAATATCCTTCATACCCGTTTGGCCTTTGGCTGATTTTTTTTCGTCAATTCGATAGTTGCCATTTTTTTTTCAAGGAAAAGAGGTGTATTTTTTCAATTGTTCAAAAGTTGTATTTACAGTTTACTATATAATTTACGCTAACGTCACACATCTCATTGCATGCATTGTAATACAAACTATGTACCATAAATTGGATGATCAAACGTTATTAAGATATATATGGTAATGGAATACTGTACTTTGGGAAGCCAATAAAGATGAACTTTTCAGGTTTAGTATTGTAAATTTGCAAAGAAAATCAGAGGATATAACTAAGTCTAAAAGTGGTTGTTATAAATTGATGAAAAATATTCATATTTTTACTATATTTTACACAAAGTGTTACATCCACGTTTTCCCTTTTTAGGATGGGCTATAAACTTGTGTAAAATATATAACAATAATGTATACAATGCACCCCTCTTGAAACCTATTTAAACATATTGCATCTGTATTGTATTTGCATTTATTAAGATAAAGCCTGCACTGGCCGGGCCGAAATTAAAAATTTTTTAACCAGTCATAAAAACGGGCCGAACTTTTTATCCGATAAGATACTTAGTAAGCCGCACGACAGGTCGGCAAAAAAAATTATTTTATCAGATCCTACTCTAAGTGCACAGTTTTGAACCATACAATAGTACAATAGTAAAAAAAAAAAAAAAAAAAAAAAAAAAAAACAAGAAGTTCATTTTATTTATAAAGTTCTTATAAGCCAGAACAAACTATAATATGCATTTAGAAAGTAATTATAGAGTGCATCTCACTTTAGCACCACCCAAATAATTTCTCAGTAAAATTTCGCGTTTTTGAGTTAGTAACTTTCATTAGGTTAAAGTTCAAAAGTATATAACTTCTTTTTTTAAAAAATAATCACTTAGATTATTATTATCAAGAAGGCATATTTGTTTATCTGTTCGCTTTCGCGACATTCATAAAATGATATCGATAAATTTTTTTAAACGAATCATTTAATTTAACATCTTATTTATAAATAAAAGAATTATTTAAATAACTTAATAAATACTTTTAAATAAGATTATAAAGAAAAGATTTTCCTTAAAAAATAAATAAAAATTAATTTTTTTTTTGTGATTGTTATAGATGTTAACAGTCCAGCCTGGTTCCTATTTTAGTCTAGTTCTGGTCTATTATAGTCTCTAGTATTAGTCTAGACTGGTCTTAAGACTTAGAGCAGACCAATTTTTTCAGGTTCAGACTGGTCTTAATGACTAACCGTGTCCATTAGTCTAAGACCAGACCACATAATAGGGTGGTTGGCAAGCTTGGCGAGCTTGGCAAGACAATAGCGGCAAGACTCTTGCCACTATGATTTGGCAAGCTTGTCAGCTTGCCTCGCCAGCTTGCCAACCACCCTACCACATAACATTCCTAACTACAGTATTCCATTTTTATCTTGTAATGTATTTGAAACATTGATTTTCCAAATATTTGACAGAAAATCACATAAAACCTTTGATTTCTGTGTTAACGTTAAGATTTTGCAAACAATTGGTCGGAACCGGTTTATGCAATTCAACTTCAAATTCGGGTCAAACCGGTTTTACAACTGTTCATAAATTCCAAGACACTGATTTGGCTGAATTCTGTTATTTATTTCGGTTGTTGTGTTATTGATTTCGGTATGACCGGTATATAACAATTAAAAAATTTATGTATTATCGTTATGGTTATATTATGTACTAATCGTTAGTTTTTAATAAATTCGCAGAGTTTAAAGGACCTATTCTATAGAATACCGTTAATTGGTTAAAAAAAAAAAAAAAAAAAAAAAGTAACTCAAGTTGAGATTACAAGAAATTAAGACTTTATTTATATTTGTCGAACATGTTTTTATTAATATTTGTCGAACATGTATTGATAATTATAATCGACAACATCTAAGTAAAATTTATAATATGGTTATTTGTTTAATTTCATTTAAGTTTGATATCATCTATATTTAGTAATCGTGTTCTTTCTGTAAATTCTTCGATATATTAATATTTTTAAGAGCTCGACCAACAAAAAACTTGCTAATACATAAATGCTTAGTAATCACTCTAATTGGTAATCCTTCTAAAATTTTTTCAACCATCAGCCAACGAATACACTTTGAAAGAATCATTTAAAAAACTATAGTAAATGATTAAAAGTTCATTAGTACAATAGAATAGTAATGATAATTGTCTAGTAGATATGTCGTGCGTCAGATTAAAACTTGTGTCAGATTAAAACAGGCCTAAATTAGAGTTAGGGTTAGGGTGAGGACTGGGATTTAGCAAGGCCGATTATTGCAGATCATTTAATGCTGGCCTAATGGTTTTAATCTGACGCACGTTGGTTTAAGTTTTAATCTGACGCACAACAGATATACGGTATTATTCCAATTTATTATTTCAATTTATATATACTGACAAGTACCGAAATCAATAACTTATCGAATTTGTAATGTTATAATTCGGTTGTAAAACTCTTATAAACCAGAGAGAAGCGAAGGACGCTATATTTCTGTGCAAAGTGAAAAAATGATCGACAAATATAATCAATATTTAAATAATATTTGGCTCCGGACATACAATGCTATGCATTTGCCTAGTTTATAAAGCTAAAATTAGATTATCTAAAAACAATATCACAAAAAGGAAGCTATTATTTTGTAGTTTAACTAGTTTACTACAACTTAGCAACTTTACTTTTTAAAATATTATTGTATCTTTTTTAGAAGAGGTTTGCTATTTATCGCCTGCGGCGATCATCGCTGGTATGTAATTAGCCAATAAAATTGCAGGTTAGGTGTAATATTAGGTGTAACATGCAAATTAATTTGGTACAAAACAAAGAATTTTTTTAAAAAATGCTAATATCTTGAAAATTCACTTATGAAATAACCTTTTGGGTTCCAATTAAAAAAATTTCCTGCTAAATTTTATATATAAATTAGTATTTTGCTAAAAATCCTAGATCTTGCTCTAACTCTAAACTAAAAGAAATTAATTTTTGTTATATTAATATTAATTTATATATACAATACTGCAGTAATGATTATCTGAGATTTTTGCTATCAAAATGATCTTTTGAGCTATTGTTATATAGGAATTTTGTTAAGAAAATTATAATAAATCTATTTTTGGTCTGGCGATCTTAGTGTAGTGGTTAGGTTGCCAGACCGCTATACAAGAGGTCTGGGATTCAAATCCTACTATCAATGAATTTGAATAATTACTCGGACCTTTGTACCCAACTTACGGTAAACTCTGCTCGTTTCTGGGGTTACAACCCTGTAAATCATGTTGCATCAATGTCAATCAGACATTAGAAGTATGACACAATGCTCGAGTTACATTATGCAAATAAATCTTGATAGGATCTATGAGCAGAGGACCTGCATGGTAGAAATCTCGAGTTTGGTAAAGTAGTACAGATTTCGATGATCAAGCCAGTTAATGCTTGATCCAATGAAAAACCTGAGTACAAAGGATATAAGATTAATAGGTATGAGTAAGTCTGCTATATAACGCAGCCTGGTGCCTTGCATTAGCAGTAACACCAACTTGGCTTAGTAGCTAACTAGATTGGAAGGATCTACTTCGTAAAATATCCAACTAGAACTTGGAGAACTATATCTAGTAGATGGCTACAGCAGGAACTGGGTTCGTACAAATATCGACAAGGGTCTAATCTAGGTGAATTTGTGAAATAGATACATGACCACTCTGATAGGAATTACTTTCAAGGTTAACCAGAGCTCTGCAGCTTATAATACGTTGGGTATACGCATCTCGAGAGAACCTAAACTGTGCAGAGAATGGATCTACGAGTGAACTAGCTAGCTTAAGCAGTTGGTCATAGTGATGATATTAGTTTAGGATAGGAAGAAGGGTTAATGATCAGAGTGTTTAAATAGGTAACTTACAGACGGGTTGCAAGTATAGCAGTATAGTGTAGAACCAACAGATAGTCAATCGTCTGTATAGCAGACTACTTAAATTAGACAATGACTAAAGTTGTATATGTAGCTTGTTGTATACTTATCATATAACTGTAAACCTTAGGAAACTGTTCATGTGATAGTTCCGTAATAACAAACTAATAAAATCTAATCAGCTAAAGAAGTGGCCTTAATAAAAAAAAATAAATAAAAATAAATATAACTATACCTTACTAACATCTTCATTTATCTTATTCAGAGCTGCTTGCACTGCCAAATTAAGAATATGATTGAAATATCTAAATCGAAGCCTTTCTGAATTCCAACTAATATTTGATTCTTCTTTTAATTTGATTGACAATTTCTGCACAAAAACATTATTATTTGGAGTGTTATCTAAGGTGATAGCAAGAAGCTACAAAAAAAAAGTCAGTTATTACTATGTTCATAAAGTCATTTTTAAGACCAAAACTCTAATTAAGTGTTGCAGAAGGAAAACCTAGAAGTAGATATTTAGGTTATCACTGTAGCAGACTTATCGTATTATAATATAATATAATAAGTTTGCTACAGTGATAACTTAAATATCTACTTCTAGATTTTCTTTCTGCAACACTCTTATTAAACATAAAATAAGTACCTTTGATTTAATATTATAATCTTCTAGTATCTGATGGAACCTATTAGCAATATTTAAGCTATCATGTCT